GATGGTCAGCTCAGAGATGAAATCATAGGGAGTCAAAGCTGTCTTGCGCTGAGTCAGTTCCTGCGTTGTGGAGTCCACAGGATCAGATGAGCTAGTTTATCATCTGGATGGTGCCACCTGATCCATCAAGTTCAGGGTCTGCAAAATATCTCAAGCACTGGTCTTAGATTTTACAATAGTGATTTTATCACCAGGAGCAATTTGGGGAGGGTCAGAGTCTTGTAGGCCAGCTGCATGACTCCTAAACCACAACAATTTCCAATCTTGTAGCCAAAATGTTAGTCCTAAAAAGGCAGCCTAGTCCCCAGGTAAGAAGGACATTTGTTTCCAGAAAGGGTATCATCTTTGCTTTAAACTATAAACTAAGTTCCTCCCAAAGTTAGTTTAGCCTATGGCCAGGAGTGAACAAGGACAGTGTGGAGGTTAGAACCAAGATGGAGTCAGTCAGGTCAGATCTCTTTCACTGTCTCAGTTTTGGAATGGTAGTTTCAATCCCTCCCTCCCTTTGTTTTTTTTTTTTTTTTTTGTTTTTGTTTTTGAGACGGAGCCTTGTTCTGTCACCCAGACTGGAGTGCAGTGGCGTGATCTCAGCTCACTGCAATCTTTGCCTCCCAGGTTCAAGCAATCTCTTGCCTCAGGCTCCCGAGTAGCTGGGACTATAGGCGCGCACCACCATGCCTGGCTAATTTTTGTAGTTTTAGTAGAGACAGGGTTTCTCTATGTTGGCCAAGCTGGTCTCGAACTCCTGACCTTGTGGTCCGCCCGCCTAGGCCTCCCAAAGTGCTGGGATTATAGGCACGCGCCACCTCGTCTGGTACCCGTTTGGGTTTCATAACCCCTTAATTTTCAGGTGTTAGCTAATGAAGATGGAGAAAGGGCAAAGACAGCTCTAACTTATTCCTGCTGGCCAGGAGTGTAGTGGGGGTAGGTGTTTACCCCACGGTGAAAGGAATGGAACCACTTTGCAGCTCTGAGCACACTCACACAGGCATGGCTGGGGATCCAAGGCTTGCATGGCAAAGGCATTACTATTGTCATCTATAGTTTTAGCACTGCATTTAAGGGAACAGTGAACTGTAAGGTTAATAATAAGGAATAGGGTAAGGAGTGCAATTCCCAGTTTTGAAAGTAAAGATTTGAATGCATTAGTTTGGTGACTTGTAGCCCACAAAGAATTTAAGATTTAGTCCTTCCAAACTGCAGGAAAAATGCAAGAACATCTAACAACAGGTATACTATATATATTTGTTTTCGAAGCACAAGTTTTCTCTCTCCAGTCCCCATTTTTATTAAAAAACAAATCATTATAGGACTGATTTATTTGCAAAATAAACTTTAGTCTTATTATACTTGGCCTGTTTATTTACATAAATTGCAACACAAGTAATAATTTTTTACATAGGCTTTTTATTTTTTATTTTTTTATTTTTTATTTTTAATTCTTTTTTTTGAGACGAAGTCTCGCTCTGTCACCCAGGCTGGAGTGCAGTGGCCGGATCTCGGCTCACAGCAGGCTCCGCCTCCCGGGTTCACGCCATTCTCCTGCCTTCGCCTCCCAAGTAGCTGGGACTACAGACGCCCGCCACCTCGCCTGGCTAGTTTTTTGTATTTTTTAGTAGAGACGGGGTTTCACCGTGTTAGCCAGGATGGTCTCGATCTCCTGACCTCGTGATCCGCCCGTCTCGGCCTCCCAAAGTGCTGGGATTACAGGCTTGAGCCACCGCACCCAGCCTACATAGGCTTTTTAAATTGGCTTTGGTAGAACTCTGTTCCATAAGGAATCTCAGATAAGACTTTTTAAAAACTGAGTCCAGTCATGGGTTTGTATCCTCAGATACCTATGAGTTTGGTAAATTCCTCTCTTCTTGAGGTCCTAAAATAACTTGGGGCTCCTGGGCCTATTAGAAAGTGACATTCTTTACCACAGGTCAGGAACCCTGTATGGGGACTGTATAGACAAGGTATGAGGCCAGTTTTACCCACGGGCTTTTATTGTCTCTATAAGTCCTTTGAATCCTTAAAGGAAAGCAGGCCATTCCAGTCAAAGCTTTGGTAAAATAACCAGTTTCTTCAATTGTTTCCTGTTGCAGAAGAGCCTGCCTTTCTTTCTCTCCCTCCCTCCCTCCCTCTCTCCCTCTCTCCCTCTCTCCCTCCTTCCTTCCTCTCTCTTCTCTTTCTCTCTTCTCTTTCTTCCCTTCCTCCCTTCTTTCCTTCCCTCCCCTCCCCTTCCTTTCCCTTCCCTTCTTTCTTTTCTTTTCTTTTCTTTTCTTTTCTCTTCTCTTCTCTTCTCTTCTCTTCTCTTCTCTTCTCTTCTCTTCTCTTCTCTTCTCTTCTCTTCTCTTCTTTTCTTTTCTTTTCTTTTCTTTCTTTTTGACAGAGTCTCAGTCTTTCACCTAGGCTGGAGTGAAGTGGCATGATCTCAGCTCACTGCAACCTCCACCTCCGGGGTTCAAGCCATTCTCCTGCTTCAGGCTCCCAAGTAGCTGGGATTACAGGTGCACACCACCACGCCTGGCTAATTTTTATATTTTTAGTAGAGACGGGGTTTTGCCATGTTGGCCAGGCTGGTCTCGAACTCCTGACCTCAGGTGATCCATCCGCCTCGGCCTCACAAAGTGCTAGGATTATAGGCGTGAGTCACCACGCCCGGCTGACTGCATTTATTTTTTGGGACCACTCTAACAAACCTGCAAACTGGGTGGCTTAAAACAAATGTATCCTCTCATGGTCGTGGAGGCTGAGAGTCTGAGGTTGAGGTGTGGGCGGGCCCAGCTCCTCCTGAGATGCTGAGGTGGACCCTTCTTGCCTGTCTGTCTGGCAGCATTCCCAGCTTGGAGAAGCTTCCCTCAAATCTCTGCTTCTGTCTTCTCCATCTTCTTGGTTGTCTTTTCATGGTCTTCCCTCTGTCTCTGTGTCTAAATGTCCCCATTTTATAAGGACACCAGTCATTTGGGTTAGTATCCACCCAGTGACCTCATTTGAGCTTGATTACCTCCATAAAGACCCTGTTTCCAAGTAAGGTCACACTTTTAGGTACTGGGGGTGAGGCCTTGAACATAGTCTTTCTTGGGGAGCACAACTCAGCCCATAACAGGGCAGGTGGGCCTTCCAGGCCTCTCAGGGGCCAGGCTTATTACCTCCCTGACTTCCTGTCCAGCCAGCCAGGAGGCAGGGCTGTGCAGCCGGGCTGCCGGGTTCAAAGCCAATTCTTTTTTTTTTTTTTTGAAACAGGGTCTCTCTGTCACTCAGGCTGGAATGCAGTGGTACAATCTTGGCTTACTGCAGCTTTGACCTGCTGAGCTCAAGTGATTCTCCCTCCTCAGCCTCCCAAGTGGCTGGGATCACAGGTGCATGTCACCTTGCCTGGGTAATTCTCATATTTTCTGTAGAGATGGGGTTTTGCCATGTTGCCCAGGCTGGTATCAAAAAATCCAGCTCTATCATGTGAGCCGGCAATCTAATAGGAGCCGTCAGATGGTGATGATGGTGACTCGCCTCAGAGACTGTGTGGCCTGGCTCAGCCAGAGCTAATGGGGATGTGGATCACCTCCTTTGCCATTTTTTATTTTGAGAGAAACTTCTTATTAAAGTTTTGAAGATGTATCTGCTTCCTGGGGAAGAGATGGGTTAAGAAGGTGGGGTATGAACAGCAGCCCTGGTCGGGGGAACTGTCTCCCCACGTGGTCTGGGACAGACGCTCAGGGAGTTTCTGGGAAGGAGTGTGTATGTCCCCATGTCCTCATGAGTCCAGCCTGGTGACATTTGAGGAAGTGAGGCTAGATGTGCAGTGTGCCACGCGGACGTGGGAGTCATGCAACCCCTGTCTTCACCAGAGACAGCTGTCAGCAGCACAGCTTCCCCAGGGGCAGGACCTGCCGGAGGGAAGCCAGGCCCGCACTGCTCTCTGTCACTGCCTCTTTTGGGAGTTGCCATTTTATAAAGCAGGAAAATCCCACCTCAGGGTTCATGGGTTTATTTTAAATTTTTTATTGTTCAGTTAAACTTATTTTAAAGTTGTGTTCACCAAAAGTAATAAGACTACAATGGTATACAAGGAAAAAATTGCCCCCATTCTCCCCACACACACACTTTGAAGCTACATGAGCAGCCTGGCTTCTGTCTTTCTGTATTTCCTCCCAGCCACTTGTGGGGGTTGTGTTTCATTGGCATGTTTTTACAATAGCAGAGTGGGGCTACCGTACCCGCACCCACAGTCATCTTGCTCCTCTCATCTGCCCGCAGATGAGGTTCCTCCAGGTCTAAGGGCCTCATGGTCTTCCACAGTGTGGAGTGCTGGTTAATTCACTTGCTGTCCTGCTGGCAGATGACCTGGTCAGTGCAGGACTTCTGCTGGGCCATTGCACTGACTTCACTCTGCTCTGCATGGGTCCTGTGGATTCATCCCTCTTGCTGCCCCCACACCTCACCTTCTGCTGTCTTTTCTGTGTTAGGCAACAGTCCTAGAAACTTTGGAATCCCCTTTACCTTGTTTGCCACCCTACGTTCAGTTACTCATCAGATCCTTTAGCACCATCCCCTTTCCTGCTGTGTATGTCCCACTCCACCAGGCACCTGAGTTATTTGCAGGCTCGGCCTCCCTAGCCTCCCTCCTGGCTGGCCCATCCTTAAGACCTGTTGGGGATCTTTCCTTCCCTTACTTGCATCTTCTCACACCTTGAGTGACCTTAGACCTTAGCATTCCAGTCTCTACACAGACCTCGCCCTCACTGCAGTATCTATCCCTGCCCATGCTGGCCTCAGCCCATACCCTCCCTGAGGCTGGGCCTGCAGGTCTGGCACCATTGTAAGATTGCACAGGAAAAGGACTTGGTGCTTTCTGAGAGCTTCTGCAGTGTGTGCATGTGGGTGTGCATATGTGTGTGTGTATGTGTGGATGCATATGTGTGCATGTGTGTGAGTATGCATGTTTGCATGTCTGTGTGTACGTGTGTGTATTAATCCACCAGTAATCCTAATTTCCATCTCTTCATTTCCTACAGTAAGGGTTCCCTATTTCATTGATTTGAAAAAACCACAGGATCAAGGTTTGAATCACACATGTAACTACTACCTGCAGCCAGAGGAAGATGTGACCATTGGAGTCTGGTAAGTGCTGGTGAGCTCTGTAGCCCTTCCAGCAGCAGGAAAAGGCCCTACATGGCTGAGCTGGTGCTGTCTTTAACACTGGCCTCTGAAATGTTGTTCATTTTTATCTTCACCTCTTCCTTTCCTAAAGGAAAGATCTCAGTACATTTGATCCTAATGTTGAGGGATTCAGTGACTTTAAACTCTATCCCCAGGCTTTCAAAACAGCAAAGGCTTTGTGAACAGATTATTATTTTTAGAGAACCTTGTTTCTAGGAAAAACAAACAGAGAAGCTAGAAACAGGATATAAGTGGCCGGCACAGTGGCTCACACTTGTAATCTCAGCACTTTGGGAGGCCGAGGCGGGTGGATCACTTGAGTCCAGGAGTTTGAGACCAGCCTGGGCAACATGGTGAACCTATCTCTACTAAAAATACAAAAATTAGCCAGACATGGTGGTGCACACCTGTAATCCCAGCTACTTGGGAGGCTGAGGCAGGAGAATCACTTGAGCCCAGGAGGAAGAAGTTGCAGTGAGCTGAATTCACGCCACTGCACTCCAGCCAGGGTGACAGAGCAAGACTCTGTCTCAAAAAAAAAAAAAGAATATAAGGGAAGAATCGCAAACACTCTTTTGAATATATCTTCCATCCAAGTGCGGTAGCTCACGCCTGTAATCCCAGCGCTTTGGCAGGCCGAGACAGGGGGATCACTTGAGATCAGGAGTTTGAGACTAGCCTAAATAACATGGTGAAATCCCGTCTGTGCTGAAAAAAAGTACGAAAATTAGCCGGGTGTGGTGGCACGCACCTGTAGTCCCAGCTACCCGGGAGTTTGAGGCAAGAGAATTGCTTGAACGCAGGAGGCAGAGGCTGCAGTGAGCCGAGATTGTGCCACTGCACTCCAGCCTGGGCAACAGAGGGAGACAATGTCTCCAAAAAAAAAAAATTTATATATATATATATATATATATATATATCTTTTCCAAGAAGTGAAAACAGCTTGATTTCTTTTCACATATAGCTTCGATGATGGTGTTGGCTGTCTTCTAAGTATTTACTTTTTTAAGCCATAAATTTATGTTGGACATAAGCCTCGTGACTTCTCTGTGTCTCCTTGGACTACATTTTAATGTTTTCTTCTGTACACAAGTGGTGCTTCTGAACAACTGAATTAAAATCGACAAACCTCACTGTGGCATTTCCCTTTTTCTCTGAGAAGTGATCCTGAATCACAGCCCCTTTATCTGGCTGAATTTATTTTTCAGTAGCCATAACGTCCCTTTCCGCTGTCTCAGAAAACCACTGTGTATGTGAGAAGCTTCTAAATGAAATGCTGTGAGTAGCTTCCCAGTGTGGATGAGAGAACATTCAGGCATTTCTAACAGTGGTCCTTGGTAAAGAACATAAAACAAGAAGAGAGATTTTTGTTCTTAGTAGTTGGTGCTAGGATTAAAGTCTTTTGTCACTTCCTGAATTGATTTAATCTAACATTTACTGACCAACGTGTGACTGTGGGACTCTGGGTTTCTGTCTGAAGCGTGACCTGTTTTGCACAGAGCTGCTGAGTGGGACTTGGTCAGCCCTCTTCTTGGTTAATATGAGTCTGTCCTATCGCAGGAGGATGTTTATGGTGGTAAGACTTATGCTAGAAGTACTAACAACACCTGCATATATTATCAGTTACCAGAAAAGGTTTTGTTTAGTGATGCTAGTGGCAAGTCTCAAGGCGGTGCCAGGGAAAATTCAGTCAAAGGGGGTTGTTCTCTGGCAGGCAGGAGTGAGAGTCACAAGGTGCTCAGTGGGGGAGCTTTTTGAGCCAGGATGAGCCAGGCACAAGATAATGTCATCGCTTAAGGCAAGGACCGGCCACTTTCCACTTCTTTGTTGGTGGAATGTCATCAGTTAAGGTGGGGCAGGGCATTTTCACTTCTTTTGTGATTCTTCAGTTGCTTCAGGCCATCTGGGCATGTACGTTACCAAGTCACAGGGGATCACTGATGGCTTGGCTTGGGCTCAGAGGCTGACATTACACACATAGCAACCTGTAGTAAGCTTAGCTATGTTCATATGACTATAGACACTTATTCTCATATGCTGCATGCTACATGCCAAACACGTGAGACAGCTGGTCATGTACAATGACATTGTCATCATTTGCTCACATGGGGATACGTAAGCAATTAAAAACTGACAATGAACCCACTTATACTAGTCATGCTTTTCAAAATGTGCTACAGCTTATAACCCATAAATTGCAAATTCCTTATAATTTCAATTTTAGAGGACAACGCATTGTAGAGCGGGCACATCAAACATTATAATGCACGTTGAAAATACAAAAGGGGGTATAGGAGGCCAACTACCACTTCAATCAAAACTACATTTAGCCTTATTTACCTTAAATTTTGACTCTGTGCGGATGGTAAGACTCCAGCAGAAAGACACTGTCAGGTGTTAGAGGAAAAGAGGAAAGTTTATCCGAAAGTGTTATGGAAATCCCTGGAAGAAGGAAAATGGAAACGTCCAGTGGATTTACTGACATGGAGAAGAGGGTATACTTCTGTTTTCACAGGCGATGGACAAACCATGTGGGTGCCCTCAAGGTGCATGCAACCATGGAATAGGAGCCTGGGGGAACCCAGTGTCAGGCCTCTGAGCCCAAGCCAAGCCATCGCATCCACTGTGACTTGCACGTATATGCCCAGATGGCCTGGAAGTAACTGAAGAATCACAAAAGAAGTGAAAATGCCCTGCCCGCCTTAACTGATGACATTCCTACAAAGATGCTTAATAAGCCGGTCCCTTGCCTTAAGCGTGACATTATCTTGTGCCTGGCTCATCCTGGCTCAAAAGCTCCCCCACTAGGCACCTTGTGACTCCCACTTCTGCCTGCAGAGAGCAATCCCCCTTTGACTGAATTTTCCTTTACCTACCCAAATCCTATAAAATGGCCCCCTGCTTATCTCCCTTCACTAGCTCTTTTCGGACTCAGCCACGCCTGCACCAGGTTATTAAAAGCTTTATTGCTCACACAAAGCCTGTTTGGTGGTCCTTCACGGAGCGCGCATGACACCCAAAGGCACAACCATGGGCCCAGTCCCTCCGATACAAGCCATGAGCCAGCTGAGCCTGAGTGCAAAGAGATGGAGAGAAGTGACTAGGGAAGTGATGATGACATCAACCCCACAGCCTGGGGACAACTCAAGAAAACCACGCAGGAAGATGAGAAACTACTGGAGCATCAGTGACAGGCAAAACCCCTAGTTATATTTAAGCCATGTTAGCCATAGTGTCCTGTGCAGTAGCAGCAGGACACAAGCGGCCAGACAAAACTCCTCAGACACCGAGTTAAAGAAGGAACAGGTTTACTCGGAGGGAGCATTGCTTGAACACTGTCTCAGGCTTGAGCTCCCAAATGGCGCAATTCTTGTCCCGCTTTGGGAGCTCACAACTCTAAGGGTGCACATGGGGAGGTCGTGATTGAGCAAGTAAGGGGGTATCGACTGGGGGCTGTGTGCACTAGTAATTAGATCAGAACAAAACAAGATAGGATTTCACAGTGCGTTCTATACAATGTCTGTAAATATATAGATAACAGAACCAATTAGAGTCAGGGTGCGGCACTTTGGGCTGTCTGCCTGTGGATTTCATTTCTGCCTTTTAGTTTTGCTTCTTTTTTTCTTTGGGAGGCAGAAATTGGACATAAGACAATATGATGGGTAGTCTCCTCTCTTAGTATGTTTTCGCTGTGCAGAGGCAAAAACATTATGCATATGTTCTCAATCCCCCAGCAGTACGACCTATACTTTGGAGCAACACGCCTCCTGAGATTTATCACGATCAGGAGTGTGTGGGCTCCAGGAACTAACTCCCCTGACAGGTGATTAAACTCTCAGAATAAATATGTTAATTATACTGCTCCACTGGAAAGGACTTCCTTTGTGTATCACCACAAAGACGTTGCTCAGCCATAGCTGTCTTACAATTCAAGCTCAAACATGGTTGAGTCACTATGGAAAAATTATGTACTTTTTTTTTTTTTTTTTTTGGAGACGGAGTCTCGCTCTGTCGCCCAGGCTGGAGTGCAGTGGCCGGATCTCAGCTCACTGCAAGCTGCACCTCCCGGTTTACGCCATTCTCCTGCCTCAGCCTCCCGAGTAGCTGGGACCACAGGCGCCCGCCACCTCGCCTGGCTAGTTTTTTGTATTTTTAGTAGAGACAGGGTTTCACCGTGTTAGCCAGGATAGTCTCGATCTCCTGACCTCGTGATCTGCCCGTCTCGGCCTCCCAAAGTGCTGGGATTACAGGCTTGAGCCACCGCGCCCGGCCTATGTACTTGTTAAGTCTTGGTTCTATTAATGTAACTGGTGTGCTAACCAACCTTTCCTGGCCCAGTTGCCCTAATTGTGCTGATTATACAGAACAGATTCCACTCAATAGTTCCTACCCTACTCAAGTGGACCCAGTATCTTGCTCCACTGGCTGAAAACAATCTATGTCAACTGGAGACATTGTGGATTGGGGACCTAAAGGTCAATTAGATCGAAAAGATGAAAATCAGAAATCATGGCACAAACTTCACTGGCATTGGTGGCAAGCTTTTAATGCTTCTTCTTTATACAATACTGGGATCCAATCCCAGTCTGCCCTTAGATTGCTTGGCATGGGGCAGGTTAGCCACCTCTTCTTCATTATTATCTAGGAGGGAAAGGACCAATTCAAGAGGCGATATGAAGGCAGCCTCCCATTTTATGAAACGGCAACATCTGGATTGGAATACTCCAATAATAGCAATAGTAAGTGACACAATCTTAATGTTGCATTTGTAAAGAATATCACCACTCAATTTACAGTTTTTGTTTTTAATCCTTATGTCTTTTTGGCAGTTAAGGAGAACCAGCTCCAGGTAAACAATACCCAATTGACCTGTAAATCTTGCCAGTTTTATCACTGCATTAATCATAGCACATTGCAAACACATAGTATTTCTACCTTGATGATTTTGGAGTGCATCCCTGGGCTATGGATTCCTGTCAATCACCTCAAGCCTTGG